TTGGTGTTGCTGTTGTGGAGCGGCCGCAGCGGCGGATGATGAGGAAGCCTTGTTGTCTGGTGACGTGGCCATGTCCAGAAGGTCCTGTCGGAAAGCCTGACCCGGGTCGTAGCTGGACAGCGACTCGCACACACTTCCGGCCTGCGACGTGGAGTCGGAGGTGAGGTCGCTCACAGAGCTCCCTCTCTCCACCTGGCTCGAGTCGGTGGTCGTGGCCTCTTCCTCCTCTCCTCCCTCCTTCTTCTCCTCCTCCTCCTGGCTGGTGCTGGTGGAGGGCGAGCTCAGTCCTGGCGTGCCGTTCTCCGTCACGATCTTGATGGCGTCTTGCACGGCCCGTGAAGTCACCTCCATAGCCACGCGCTGGATGGAAGAGTCCTCCTCTTGCTCTTGTTCCTCTTTCTCGCCGTTCACGGGCGCACTCTCCGTCGTGTTGTTGTCCAGCACAACGGTGCTGTTATTGTTGTTGTTATTATTGTTGTTGAAGTTGTTGACGTTGTTGTTGTTATTAACAGCAGATGTCACATCATCGTCATTGTTGTTGTTGTTGTTGAAGTTGTCAGCAGTAGGAGCGGCAGCAGGTGGGGGCGGTGGGAGGGTGTCCTCTGCGTTGCTCTCCTCCTCGGGAGAAGCGGCGTTGCTGCTGCTGCTGTTGTTACCGCTGACGTCACTGGGCGGGGTCACGTCCTCCCCGACGGGGGGCGGGGGCGAGAAGGCGGCGGGCGGTGACGTCACAGAGCTGTCCGAGGACGAGCCCTGGGGCGACGCCGCGAAACACACGCCTCGCTTCTTGGGCGGCAGCGTCTCCTCGCCTCGCTCCACGCTCGGGTCGCCGTCCTCAGCCTCAGCCTCAGCCTCAGCCTCAGGGGCGGGTGGGGACACAGTCTCAGACACGAAGGTCGTCGCCTTCTCGATGATGCCCTCCACGAATGTGCGAGCCGTCTCTTGAACGGCTTCTTCCTTCTTCTCTCCATCCTCTGTCTTCTCTCCCTCTTCTGTCTTCTCCTCCTCCGCACCTCCAGTCGGCGCCCCCAGGTCCACACCCACAGCAGCAGCCGCGGCGGCCGCCACCTCAGGGACCTTTGACTCATCCAGAGAGTTTCTGTGGGCCTCCAGGAGACCCTTGGCTCGGTCTAAAAAACATGGCTGCTGTTGTTCCGCCTGACCTTCTGCCTGACCCTCGACCTGACCCTCGACCTGACCCTCGGCGACGGAGCCGCCAGCCACGAGACCCGGGGCCACACTCTGCAGAGCCTGTTGTGCCGGGGCGACAATGTCCTCGGAGATCCTTTCCTTCACCTCGTTCTTCACGTTCTCCACTCCCTCCTGGCCCTCCTTAGCCACAGAGCCCAGCACGTCCCCGAACCCGGACCCTAACCCTGACCCAGATTTCTCTTCTTCCTCGACCACAGCGGACGGGGCGGGTGGGGGAGGGGGCAGATCATCTACAGCCGTGGCGTCCTCGGGCTTGTCGCTCACACTGCCTCCGAAAAGACCTTGAACCCCAGAGGTCAAACCGCCGACCTTTTCTTTTCCGGCGTCCACCAGTCCCGAGATCGCCTCCTGGCCCTGACTGACCAGTCCTTGGACCTTCTCCTGTCCAGCCTGGGACAGCTCCTGGGCTTTGGCCACGCCCTGGTTCATCAGAGACGACATCATGCCCTCGCTAGCCGCTTCAGTCTCTTTGGACTCCTCCTTCACGACATTCTCAGCCTCGGCCTGGCTAGACTGGACAACGTCCGAGCCTTCTTGGGCTCCCTGCTGGACAGCAGAGGTCACCTGACCCAGGCCGGCAGACACAGCTTCCCGGACTCCCTGCTTCTCCTCCTCCGCGCGGTCAGCGGCGGCCACAAGACTCTCCTGTCCCTGGTCCACCACAGCGGATACTCGCTCGCTCCCGGCGCTCGCCGCCTCCTTGGCTCCCTGCCTCGAGTCGGCGACCAGCCCGGACAGACGATCCATGCCAGAGCCGGCGAGATCCTCCACCTTCTGCTGTCCCTGCTCCACGGTACTAGACGCCTGCTCCGCCACCTGGGCGCTCACGCTCTCCACCTTCTCCTCCACGGCCGCCTTTCCCTGGTCCACCACACCGGACACCTGGTCCGCGCCCTTGGCGGCAGATTCTTCCACCGCGTCCTTCCCGCCCTGGACAAAGCCGGACAGAGAGCTCAGGCCAGAGGTGGCGCCCTCGACGACGTTCGTCTGTCCCTGGCCCGCCATGCCGGCCGCCTCGTCAACGCCAGAACTGACTGCCTCTCCCGCGGCTTCCGTCTTGTCCTGACCCTGACCCATGAACCCGGAGACCATGGACATTCCAGAACTGGCCACTTCGCTCACCTTCTGCTTGCCCTGCTCCACCACCTCACCGACCTTGACCTTGCCGGCTTCCACAACCTCTCCGACCTTGACCTTCCCTACTTCCACGGCCTCTTCCACCTTGTCCTTGACTCCGCCCAACAGGCCCCCAGACTCCTCCCCCTGCTGCTTCAGCTCCTCCACCTTGCCTGTCCCGGCCTCAACGTTCGTCTCCACGGCCTCCTGGCCCTGCGTCACCGCCTTCCCGACACCCGCGGTCGCTGTCTCCACACCTGAGCTCACCTGACATTGAACCTCACTTACACCTGAGCTCACCTGACCTTGAACCTCACCCACATCGGCGCCTACTTTCTCCACACCTGCGCTCACCTGCCCCTGCACATCACCCACGACTCCCGAGGCCTTCTCCTGCACGCTAGACACAGTCTGCTGCACTTCTGCCTCCACCTTGCTCTGGAGACCTTCAACCGCCTCCCCGGCCTTGACCTGCGCGTCAGAAGCCGCCCCTTGCACCTCGGCTTCGACCTTGTTCTGGGCGCCCTCCACAGCCTCCCCGACCTTGGCCTCGGCGTCGGCGGCCGCCTGCTGTAGCCCCGCACCGACTGCGCCACCTACGCCTGACAACAGCGCCTCGTCCTCGCCTTCCTGGGGCTTGTCTGGAAGATTTTCTTCCTTCCCCGCCTTCTTCTCCGTGCCGCTAGAACACAGATTGCCCATGGCAACGATTTACCTTTACGCACTTAGGAAAAGGGGGAAAAAAACCCAACTAGGATACGTTAGGAACGGTTGGTTTTGTTGTTTTTTGCGACAACTGTAGTGGGGACTGACTCTTAGGGTATAATAACCTTGAAATATCAGATGAAAAAACAAGAACCGTGCGTGTGTAGGGATGAGAAATCTTTTCCTACTCACGGCCGACAAGAAAGAATGAAAAAAACACAACAAAAACAAGCAATTCCGCCAATCCTCTGTGAAAACGTTTGTTTCAAAGAGAAACGAGTGTGTGGAAGGGTTTCCGAGTCCGGCTTACCTCCTCAACAACGACTCACGAATTAGCTCCCCTCCTTTGCGCGGGAGTTCCCGGTCACGTGTGTGTGTGTGTGTGTGTGTGTGTGTGTGTGTGTGTGTCCTGTGCCGGGCTGACAGCCGAACAACGCGCGGGAAAGTCGATACAGGGACGCGATTGAGGGACGGGACGAAAATAACGTTTTCCTAAACAAGTCCCTGAGGGGAAGGATGGAGGGTGGACGGATGAACGGATAGATGGATAGAGAGAGAGAGAGAGTGATGGAACGAGAGTGATGAAGGCGTCTGATGAATTCGGAAGAAAATCTATCTCTGAAAGTGGGAAGGGGGAAAAGCGG